ATCATTAGTTTAACAAATGCAAAGAAAGGAGACAAAAGTGATAAGAAGAAAATAAAATGGAATAAGCACTGCTAAGAGTAACTTAAAATGGAGTTGGAGGCCACTGAGGGGCCTGTGCACGGCTCATGTCTGTTCTTGGAGCTGTGGTTAAGTTGCTGAGCTGCTGCTACACTCAGCACAAGGCCGACCACACACATCCTGGATCCATGATTGCTGCAGGAACATGTGGTCTCATCATGGTGACCAGATCTGTATTCTTCACCTTGAAAGGAACTGACCTATTTCCACAACCAGCACACTCCACTTACGTAATGGGCCTAACCAATCCCAACTGACCCAGCCGACATCATTTACCTACATCAGGGGTCCCCAACCCCTGGGTCGTGCACAGACCAGTACCATCTGTGGCCTGTTAGGAACCGGGCCACATAACAGGAGGTAAGCGGTGGGCGAGCAATTAAAGCTTCATCTGTATTTCAGCCGCTCCCTAGCACCAGCATCACTGCCTCAGCTCCACCTCAGATCATCAGGCATCAGATTCTCATAAGAGCACTGGTCCCTGGTGCCAAAAGGGTTGGGGATCGCTCATCTACACGGAGGACCTTAATGAGAACGGCTCCTCTGGTTTTGCCCTTCATAAACCCTCCCTTTCTTGGTTCCCTTCAATGCATAGTCTAGATTGCTCCCTGAATGTGTGCCCTGGATTGCAATCCCTCCTTTGCTCAAATAAATGCCTTCTATTTTTTATTACAGCCTAAGCTTTTTGTTGTTAAGAAAATGGAACAAGAAAGCATAATAACCATAGATCATTAAATAACCAGAAAAAGACCTAATACATGTATAACAATTAACATAAATGGGTTAACTTTATTAAAAGACAAAAACTCTAAAATTGGTTTAAAATCCAGTTATGTGGCACAAATAAGAAATGTATCTAAAACATAAACCAAAGTTTAAAAAACAGGATAGAGAAAAGATATAGCAGGCAATTGCAAATGAGAAGAAAGCAGGGAGAAGAGCAGAGAAACATCAGACTGGGTAAAATGTATGTGGAAACAAAACATACACCCCTTCTTTATGAAAGAAGATACAGATCAGAAATATGACATTCTCCTTCCAAAAATTAATCCGTGTTTTTTTTTTTTCCAACAAATTGCCTTGATAGTATATTGGGCAAAATTAAAAGTCCAAATTCAGGATCGAACGGGCCACATGCTGGTCCCCATGGATTCTCGTCCCCTTCCATATAGAGCCCTTGTGAGAGCCCTAAGTTTGTCTTTTATCATGGGATGTGCTGTGGATCCCTCTGCTGGCTGCGAGCTTGTGAGGCACTGAGCGTTATCAGTACAGAATAGCATTTTAAAAGGCTAAGGTAAAACTTAAGGTAAAACTTAAGGATATCGCTGTAAAATGTATTTGTTGTTAATCCCTTAAGCCGTTTTTCTCCCCTTCCCACTGAGAACAGGCCTTTTTCTCCCCAGCACCAGAGTGAGCACAGGTAACTCAGGCTGCTGGGAAAAAGCAGCCGCATGAGTTATCTCATTCATGAAGGGGTTTTCTTAAACCTAAAATACGGGTCTTTTGATACTGTTATTCTTTGAAAAGGTGAGATAGCCAATGAAATAAATAGGAATATTTTAAATGATGAAAGTATAATTTATAAAGATAAGATCATGATGAAGTTTAAGACACCACAGCAGCAAAATATCTTCAGATAGAATTCTTAGTAATCTGATTTTTGTTTTTTTATAAAATCACAATCACGGTTAAATCACAATCACAACTGCAATAAAAATAAATAAATAAAACCACAGAATACACCTAATAGGAAAATGCAAGATTCTCATGATCAAAGTTAACAAAAGCCATAATGAAATCTGAATAAAATGAAGGGTAACTTTCTTACTCACAGGAAGAATAAAAATGGTAGAGAGGGCGGTATTCCTCAAACTGATACAGATTTAACAGACTTCAAATCAGAATCGCATGGTTTTCTTTTTAATTGTTACTGTTGGAACTTGATAAAGTCAATAAAATTTGATAGTTAATAAAATTCAACTATAAGGATAAATGTATAAAAACAGTACAGTTACCAAAATTTTGAAAAGAAAATCAAGGGGAGTATTTGCTTTATGAAATAACAAAATAAATTCTGAACAACAAACAGTATAGTGACACTACAGCAGAAATGGGTGCCACTCCGGCTCCACCTGGCGACCACGCTACCCCCTGCCCCGCTGCCATGTGGCCATCGCAGCACTCAGCAGTGTCTTCAGTAACGTTTCCTCTACACTGCTGTCCTCCCTCCCCTGTTCCAGAAGATAAGATGGAGAAGAGAGAGACCTTACCTGTCTCATTCTCTGCTGTCTCCCAAGCATCCAGAACACACTTTAGCACCCGGTAGGCAGGTGCTAAATATCTGTTCAATGAATGGATGGGCGATGAAACGCCTCAAGACACTATGTAGAAGAAAGTTAAATTCCAACCTCACATTATACACCAGAAATTCCAGACAGCTAGGATGTAAATTTAAAAGGATAAAACTAGTAGAAAATGTAGAAAAATATTTATATATAATCTTAGGGTACAGAAAGAATCTCACAGCATGATTCTAAAACCAAACAAAGGAAAAGTTAACTGAATAAAACTTCAAAACGTATTTGTAGCAGATGTTATACACAAACTGAAAAGGAAAATGACAGGGAATAATATTGGCAATTTATGGCAAAGGATTAATATCCACATTATATAAAAGGCTTCTTTTATATATAAACAACCCAATATAAAAGTGGGTAAAAGATGTAAGAAAGGTATTTAAAAAGGCTAGAAGAATGTACATTCATACTTATTTTTGAGGATTTGAGACCGGGGAGTATATCTTATAGCCTTAAATGTTTTTGATAACTATATGCCCAATATTTATATGCAGAAAAAGAAGATAAAATTTAGAGGCAAATACAAGTCATAGTCACATCACTGGCCAACACAGGAAAGATGAAAATAAGAGGAAAGATGAAAAAAAGAAACAGCTCTAACGCTGCACTGACGTGTCCCAAATCAATCACCATACTCTTCAAAACATCATCAACGACAAAGCTGCGAAACTGTTCCAGACTAGGGGAGACTCAGGAGACATGACAGCTAAATGTCAGTTGTGATACGGATTAGATCCTGTCCAGATAAAGGACATTTGTGGCAAAATATGACTAAGATTTGTAATTTGGTACAGTATCGATGTAAGTTTCATCATTTTGATAACTGTATTTTGGTTTGTAGAACCAGGGCCTGGTTTTTAGGCTACATATACTGAAATATGCAGAAATTAAATCAGTGGTTGCTGGGGACGGGGAACCTGGACGAAAGAGGATGAGGACAACTTCTGGTGATGAAAATGTCCTATAGCTTTGCCGGGGTGGTGGTTATGTTGGTGCATAAATTTGCCAAAACTCAATAAATTATAAACTTAAAGTGGGTTATTTTATGTAAATTTTACCTTAAAAGAAGCTGATTTTACAACTTAACACTTTTTTCACTAAATAAAATAAAATCAAGGTCACTGACAGCCAAACCACAACCTCCATCAATCAAAATCTTATAACTTCTCCCCTTTAAACCTTCCCCTCTTCTAGAAACTCCCTTCCTCTAATAACTATTCTTGTGACTTATGCTGCCTTTTATAACTGAGCCTGACAATATCGAGGAGAGAAAGTAGTACACAAAGAAATCGCCAACAGTTAATTCTTGTCTTCATGAAGCCTCCTTAAAACTGGCACCTTTGATAAACAAACAAGTGACATATTTAAGAGAAGCCTAACACATGATCTAATGAATAGAGAACACACCACGAGCCCTTCGGGACTGCAGACAAGGTTAAGTAAGCCTAACCCGACAAAGAAAAATGTAAGGCAAAACATAACTTGAGGTCTCCTGCACCAAGTCTCCCTGATACCTATTTCCTTCTCCAGAGAAGGACCAATTCCAGCTTCTAGTAAAAACAAGCAGGTTCCATTTTAAAGCAATTGGGGCCAAAAAAACCCTAGATTCCTCATTCAGTATTTTCGCTTCGTGATGTCCTCTAGCTGATGGCCACTGCTTCTTCCTAGAAAAACTCTGCTCATGCCAACCTCCCAAATTCTTCCAACTCCTCCTCCACCCCAATACCTGCCACTTCACCAAACAAACTCCTCCTTCCTGGCACCTGACCCCACACTTTGTATCTGATTCCCTCTCACTACCAGTCAATGCTACTAAACTCTACATCCCAAGCTCTTGGCTGGCATCATGCCTTCAACCTCCCAAGAACAATGCTGGGCAAGTTTTACTTACACCATGTCATTTGCACTTTCCAACAAACCTATGAAGTAGGTATTATTAAATGAAATAAGCCATGTGAAATTCTTAGTGTCAAGGATGTGGCAAACGCTCAGTTCCTCTTGTTATTTCTGTCATCAGCCTGAGGGACTGATGCTTCAGGGAGGTCCAGTCACTTGGCCAAGGCAACGCAGCTCTTAAATGGTAAAGTTGGGGTTTTAACTTGGGGACACCTTGAATCCATTTCAGCATCCCCTCCCGTAATCCCTACTCAGCCCTGCTTCCCCTGGCTGCCCCGCTGATCTTCCCCTTCTCCAGGTCTTGGAACACTGACACTCTGGGCACCTAACGTACCTGTTCTTATTATCAGACTCACGTGCAGTCATCATAACAGCATCTTGTAGAGATGTGACCTTTTCTGCTGCCCTAGAGTCCACAGCCCTGTAAGCACCAGGACCATCTCCACATGATTGTTTTTCCTTTTCTGACCCTTGAACAGCACCAGGAGCTGAATGAGGAAGTGGCCACTGAGAATAGAGCTGAGGGACACTGAGGGGAGCTTTGTGGAAAATAGCCGATATTCAGAGATCTCAAGAGCCCTGTCCTCTTCAGTGAAACCCACACATAATATCAGAGTACAGAGTGAGCGACGAGTTTGAGATTGAAAAATGAGTGGAAAATGAGCTCACCTGAGCTCCCAATGGCAGAGGCCCAGCAGCCATTGCCTGCTCCTTCCTTCCTGTGGAGTTCTTCCCGGGGGTGGGCAGGAAGAAGAGGCAGAGCTGAGAGAAAGAAAGAAGCCATGAGAAAAGCAACTACAGCAACAACAAAAAAACAAATTCCTATGGATAAACCAAATAAGAAGGGTACAGTATCTACATGAAGAAACTCTGATTTTTATTTATGAAGTTTATTTTAGTAAGTTTATTTAGATATGTAAAGAAAGATGAACAGAGAGACATACCATATTCCTGGATAGGCTGTCACAATAACATCCTAAATTCTCACTTCTTTGAAATGAACTTATAAACTTAACACATTCCCAAGTTATACCAAAGTAATATTTTAAAGTTAATTACAGAAAAGATGGTTTTTTAAAGTTAATTGTGTTGTATAACAGCCAGGAAATTTTTGAAAGGGACTAGAGATGAGCAAAAACGTGCTCACCAACTGTTATGAAGCTATGATGGTGAAGCATGAAGGGCAGAATCATGCATTCACCAGATATACTGTTGACACCTCCTGTGTACCAGGCATCAATCCTGTGGGTGGGAGTGAACACAGCTGCAAACAAAACAGATAAACTCTCTCCTCTCACGGGTGTTCTATTCTAACAGGGGAAAGA